AGAACATGTGCTCAGAAAGAAAGGCAAGAACTGGAATTAGATTAAAGGAAAGCAATAGTAATATATAACTTTATGTATTATAGCCATTACCTTTTATTTACTTATTTCTCATCCCTAAATACCCTAAAGGCATCTTACTTCTTTCCCATCTCTTGTATAAATACAAGATAAGATTTTAAGTGAGAAAAGCTGGACAAAGATAAATGAGAGAAAGAAAGATAAGATGAAAACCCAGGGAAGCTAGTGCACAAAATGTAGGCCAGAAGGTCCAAATCCTTGTTGGAGGTGGGCCACTAATTATGCCGCTGAGTTTTCAAGAAACCAAGATGTAAAAGGTAACGCATCTGGTCACGCTTCATAATGTCCAGAAGACACAAACAAATACAAACAAACCCGTTCAGAAGAACTGTATATTATCTGTTATTTCTGTTGGTAAAACACAAGATCCTGTCTCTCTCTCCCTGCCCCTCCCTCTCCCACTCCCTCTCCCTCTACCACTCAGGAAGCAGACGCTGCGCTAAGCATTGCAAAACACCACCCTCCACGGCCCCATAACAACTACCATAACAAGTTCATGAAACTATGTTTTTAAAGCCTCCTTCTGTATATGTTAATGGCATCAGGCCTAAGCCCAGTTCCGTTCAAAAGTAATTTCACTGGCTACTACAATTATTTAATAGTGTTCATCTCCACTGAAATATATATATCACTGATATATATATCACTATCACTGATATATATATATATATATACATGTGTGAATTTACACATATACATTTTATATACAAACGCACACATGTACACACCATAGTTTAAGGTATTAAATTAAGAACATGAGAGAAAGTTGAGTCAGAAACCAGAAATATAGTAGGATGGTAAAATAAACTTTTTCAAAGTTCTGTATACTAATAGAAACTTTAGTGTAAATATATATCATCTGCTAGATGCATTATAACAGTTGGGCAGACCTCTTCAATCCTATCCTCTCATTTTAAACAATCATTCTGTAAAGCCCATCTATGTATTCATTTCCATCTTATTGATGGAAAAAGTGATAGAGAGGTAAGAAAATGCCTTCCAAGGTGTCCTTCAAGTCAGCAGTCCATCTAGCTTGAACCATAAGTCCACTCAGTTCAATAACTGTTTACTGCATGCCTAGGTGGCAGGTGCCTCAGGGGATTCAGAAGTGAACGATGTAGACTGTGACTTTCAGAGCTTGTGTTGTGGTCTCTGGGAATGCATGAAAGATGCAGAAAAGGGAGGAAAAAATACTCCTACAATATCAAGCAGAGTTAAACGAGTGCCTTAAACGGGGCATAGAGTTCTCCGTGGGATCTAAAACATCACATCCTTCTGTGAGGCGGGAAAAGTAGAAATGGATGGAGACGAATTAGGGAAGGGAGAGCAGAAGGAATGGCAAAGAGATCGTAACACATGATATAGGCTCAGGGAACATCAAGAAGCCACCTTTGGTTAGAGTGTTAAAAAAACATACAGAGGAGAGATAGGTGGGAAAGTAGTTTGAGATGACAGGTTCTGAAAGTTACAGTGTAGAGACTTTATTTAAAGAAAAAGGCTAAGACTTTGGGTCTCAGGATCACAGTTGTTGATCAATCCATCCATCTTTATAAATATACTCACTAAAAATCTCTATGCAGACATCATGAACTAAAACCTGTCTCTGACATAAATGTTCTAGATCACACTGACGTCACAGGCCAAACTTGCACAACCTCAGGCTTCAACTTGCATGTATTCTCTGAAGGACAAAGCCTCTCCATTTCATATGTTAAAATTTTTTGGTATGCAATCACACGTAATGGCTGTCATTTGTCTGGTTACCTGACCCATGTCTTTTGCAGTTGGAAAATGTATACTAGTGACAGTGTGTCTCCACAGAGATACTCTCATCACAAACTCCACAAGTCAGTACTGTTTCACACTAAGTTTTGTAATCCCAATGAAAACAAATAAAATACCCAACTGGAGAAACAACGAAAATAAATGTAAATAATCTACTACAAATAAACTACTTGTCCCTAGAACATAACGATATTAGAAAGTTTAAAAAGTTAAAATCCTCTTGGGTCCTAAACTAGTTTTGCTCTCTCTGCACAGTGATAATAAGCTTTCTTGTTGCATTAAGTTACATTTGAGAGTAATAAATAAAAATCTAACTACATATTTTAGGCCTTTTTTCTCACTTAAATTTTAGAAATTTTCAAGACAGAAATACATCTTTCTCCTTGGACATTGTTACTAAACTGTTTTTCAAAAATGAATGTATTATCATATAAAGATGATTTGAGATTTATTATTCCAATACTTATTCTAAGTACTGGTGTTGAGATATACTACTTAGCATGAGCAAAGACTGTGCATATATGCATAATTATCCAATCCTAAACTTAAATTAATTATATAATAATGGCCCTTTAATGAGAGGTATTTTAAAGCTATATTCTTGGGAATTCTACAGTAATGTTTTTAACAATCTCCAGCAATAAAACAAAAGAGGGTATTTGTTTTTTTCCACTGCACTTATTACACCATAAGGATGTATTCAAAGTGTAGGTCTTTTTACATGTAGGAGGTTGAATGAATTTATATTTAGTTAATTTCAATGAAAACAAAAAAAATAACAAGCTCTCATTATAGAAAATTGTCACTCATTTATAAAAGCTGAAATACCAAAAAATATTACACATAGGAAAAACAAAATATTGAGGATCATTAATCAGAGATTTGGGGAATAGAAATATAGAAGAAAATAGCAGTTTTTCTGCCCTCTGGTGGCAATAAAGTCAACTGCAGCATTACTCAAGTAATGCATCATAAAATATTCCTGTTATGAAATCAGATTTTACCCCAATGCCAAAATGTCTGTAATAAAAATCCTGATTGCTACATTTCAAATTTCAAGACTGTTGGACTCTTTATTTACTGTGTTGAACGTTTAGCTAGACTATTTTAATAGGAATAGGAAACTGTATTTTTTCTTCCATTTCATTTCTGTCTTTTAGGCTATTTTATTCCAGGATTATTTCATAAAACTATACGTACATTGATATACAGAAAATAAGCTACTTCAGTTTATAATAAGTCTCCAAATAAATTTGTCAACAAATTTAAAACTATTCCTTTTTTACTTAATCCTATAAATATATGGGTTTCCAGAGTAGTTTTCCACCAGAAAATATTGGGCTGGTTTACCACACCTGCACATTTATGTTGAACAATTTAAGTACTTTATATTTCCCAAAGCGAAGGCTTTTAACTAGCTGATCAATTTTAGAGTAAAATGAATTTCATCTTCAATTTAAGAACTTATAATAGTAAATTCATTGTATGTATTATTTTCTCAGTATTATATTTTTAATAAAAAATTTTGAGGAAAAAATAAACATTTGCTTTCTTTTATTTTTTACTGTAAATGCATTATTTACTTCCAGTGCCAAATAAGTTTTCAAATAAACAACTTGGGATGCATTTTGACACACACACCACTCTGAGACCTCCTTTGAGATGAATTAACTTGCTAATATGCTTAAAGGCATTTATTTATTCCATGAAAATTACTGTTGCGCCTTTTAAAATAAATATATTGCTTCATGGAGGGGTCTTTTTTTTTTCTTCTTTAATCAATGTTATCAATTGAAATAAACAAAAGGTATGATCTACTGATCTAAATAATACCTAGTGAAGAACGACCTATATCCGAGTAAGGAGAAAAATTGCATGTGATAAAGACAAGTCAACTTCCAGGAAATCTGCATTTTATTCAGTTTTAAAAGTGTGATCATCGTGTTGTCCCCGCCCTCTCTATACATGCACAGACACCCTCCAATCCTGAGCCTGTACTTTCTCTAAGAATTTGCACCTGGGGCAGACACAGTGTTTTGGCTGTCTGTCTTCTGGGCTTCAGCTTATAAAATCTCCTTCAAGTACCTCCTGGAAGATTCACTCACCTGAAATCCCCAGGTGCCCTCCCTGGCCCTCTTCCGTCTGCCACTTTCATGTCTGACCTTTTCGGACACTCCTGTACTTTCTGAAGAATCACTTACCGTCCTCCTCCCCGGCCCCCTTTAATTCCGCTCCCAGAATTAAAACAAATCAAAATCTTATTACCGTAACCTGAAATGTCTCCTTTCTTTCCCCTCTCCAGGTGTTTTATTTATTTTTCTTTCTTTCTCATTTCACCTACTCTTGAAGTCCCCCCGAGTTCACAAATGTTTGCCAAGGTCTGTCTCTGCCTGTTTCCTCGCTTCCCTTCCGAGGGGCAGAAACGGGGACAGCACGGGCGGGCAGCGGGCCGGGTCGGGGGGGGG